GCAAATTATCAGAAATTTTTCAGAAAGCAAATTCGTAAACTTACCTATGCACGAAATTGCATGATTCTAGATAGGATAACCCAGCGGCCAGTTGCGTAGCTACAGAAATGCAATAGAGTGTGCTGGAAAAGAATCATTCAAAGCTTATGGTGACCCGAAAATTTTGCGCAGACTTACTCAACATCTTCCATCTTACTAATGTAAGACTTCAGATCTCCGCCAGCCATGTACTCCATGATGCAGATCATCGGTTTATCAATAGTAGAGACACCAATCACCTCGACAACATTTGGATGTTTAAGGTTTCCTGCAAGAAAAAAAACCTATAATTTATAGTTTTGTTAAAAACAAGGCGATCACAAGAAAATTACTCGCAAGAGGGGTGCGTAAAATTTAAAAGGGCGTGGCCTGACCGGATTGGCCACACCCTTTTTGACAACATTTGAAAAGTTACAATTTCAATGGAAATTTTTAGTATCCTTGTGAGAAGATGAATGCTCTTATTCCGATTCCGCCAATGCAAAAGCAGTATTTATTACCTAAAACCCTGATTTCACGAAGGAAAGCATTCTCCTCTTCTTGAGAAGTGCTGTGTAGACGCTTTACAGCAACCTGACGAGATTCTAGCAAGCAGCGATGTACCTAAAATGGTATCAACAATTACTATAATCAAAGAACCACTAAATTTGCTCACCTCTCCAAACTCTCCTTGGCCGATTTTCTCCACAAACACTAGCTGATTCCTATTGATCTCGGGTAGGGTGCTCAAGTACACCTCACCATAATCGGAATATTTAACGGCAGAGGAAAGCGGATTGCTGGAAACGAATGAATGCGCATTTGTAGCGACTATTCGAAGACAGTAAGAATATACCTCATGGTAGGGTTGGGGATGACAGTTTCGGCATAATGTGATACTTCTAAGCCGTGATTTTGGAATGATGGCAACAACGGTTCCAGAGTGGCTCTGTCTTTGGTGCTAAAAAGATCTGCGGGTATTATAGGTTACTTTTAAGAATTCCTCAGATTCTCCAACATGAAATGAACAAAATAATGGACGGCGAGATGCTGTTTGAGGAAGAATGAAAAATGAAGTTTAGAATAAGCAGAGCTAAGAAGTTTCAAGAAAAAAGTTTCTTTCTGGAATCTTGCATTAATTATTAAAGCAACTTAAAGTTCTTAAAATATCTTACATGAATATGCCTTAGGAATACCATCAAGCTCGTTCATTGTTAACAAATTATTACAAATAATAAACCAAAATTATAGCACGAAATTTTCTTTTCACGAGAAATTGAACTTGGAGAAGTGGGTAAGGAGTTTGTCTCTTTAATATTTTCGGATCAAGTACATATCTCTTTCAAGAACCGAAACAGGTTTAGTGTCAATGTTGTTCAACAATGTTAACGATGCCTATTGATGATCGATTATTATATGCGGCCTTAGAAAGTGCTCAAACCTCTTCTCTCTAATTATGGAGCGTCCCTAAGAGTTAGAAGAGTTTTTAATAGGATAGGCGTGTTGTGATTCAAAGATTACTTGAGCTTCATCTTTCTTTATAGGCTCCCTTGTTTTACTTACTCGTGATTTCCTCGAGGATGAGCCTTACATTGTTTTTCAACTTAGAGCTCCAGATCGTCAATGGAGGAAGCATACTGATTAAAAGCCATCGACAAATTGCTTCCAAATATAACCTCTTTACTTTAACCAGTTCTGTTTACCATGTATAAAATAGCCTTCGCACACAGCTCTCTCCATATAAGTCCCCTTACTTCTCCTCGCGCCTGCTTCTTTCTCCTTTCTACGTATACTCTTAAAGAGAAATGACTCGATGACTTTCAGTAGTTCGCGAAACTGACTGAAACTTATCCCACAATTATCGCCGTTTTCAAAACTACGCGGTTAATTACTCAGGCTTCGAATAACTTTTATTGATTGCGCAATTAGTGAGGTATTTGCCAAAAATCTATTTCCTCTCCAACAAATTCCTGAGAAAAAGCATCTTTCAATGAAATTACAATACATTTAAAGACACCATAGCAACCCCGGTTGATTTGGCCTGTTTGATGGATACCATTTGAGGATAAACGCGGTGCATTATACTAAGGGAAATAGTCTCCTTACTTTTTTTACGGGCGAATGTTAAAGTCGCCTTCCAACGCGCAATTCCGCATACGAGTAGCCTTATAGCCGGAAAAACAGGATAAAGCGAGAAATTATTGGCATTCCAGCCCACCTCTCGAGTTGTTACCCTTTAATATGATTTGGCAGGAGAACCAAGTTCATCAGTTGTTATGTTATGTTATAGGAAAAAAGAGTGAATTTGCGGTGTACTTTTGTTAATTACAAACATATTTATCCTATATTGTTAACATTC